AAAGAACTGAAACTTCATCTTTCGTTACTTGATGATCGATATGGTTTGAAATAACCGAAACGTGTCGTTTGTAAATAAATCATAGGGGACTCACACTGACCTCTTATTTACTCAATATGTACTCAAGCCACTACCTCGGATTTAATCTAAAAATATTCATATAATCTGACTGTAAAATTCGCGGACTAAGTTAAAGAAGCATTTTCTTCCAGTAAAAGTGAAAACATTGGCAGGTTTCCACCAAAAGTTGAAGTGTTAAAGCACTTTTTTTCATACAACTAGTCGTATTTCCATGCATACCTACACTCAGTATGTGAGCTTGGATAGTTATTCCAAATTACGCTTTTTTCCACAGAAAAATTTACCAATTTTATGGGCAAAGCGTGTAAAAACAAAATACTTAAAATTATAAACATACACAGATAAACAACCATGTAAAAAAGACAAAGCAAGACATTTTGTTTTAATAGTTTTATTACAGTTTATTCATATAGTATCACAGAAACTTTCTCAAAAAATTCAATTTCAACAATCAAATTTCAAGAGATCGTTTAGAGTCAACAGCAAATTTGTATGTAGCCAAAGACAATATACAGGGTGTCCGGAAAAGGTGGGACCAACACTTAACGGGGCAACTCCACAGCAAAAATKAGCGTGACTATAACGTTTTTCCTATAACACTTTTGCGAAAACTCAACAATAACATATTTACGGGGGTGTTAAGTTAGATTTACAAAATAWTTTTTTTGAAATAACTTCTTTGTCGGTTATCCGATTGTTTTCTAATTTGGCACACTTATTACTTATGATMATTTGTATTATTGTACAGTACATGTAAATTTTTTATTTTTTTTAGTACACTTATTACTTATGATAATTTGTATTATTGTACAGTACATGTAAATTTTTTAATTTTTACATRTACACAGTACATGTAAAAGTTGACATTTATCCGATAACGCTAAAGGKTTGAACTCACCCATRTCTTAACTTAATATCCTATATTTTTTATTTTCCGCTTTTTGTTGTGTACRATTTCAARAAATTAARGAACGTTTAAAATTACTTAAAAAAACGARCCGTTCCCGAGAAAATCGACTTTTAAAATTGTGTTSCAATTTAGYAGATTAGTAGTAGATTTTCYCGAGAACAGCTTATTTTAGAGAGACGTGAGAAGTAAACCTTTYATAAGTATAATTTTAAACGCGCTTTAATTTTTTSMAATCATTCACAACAAAAAGTTTAAAATAAAAAAGTACTTATACGTTATTAAGTAGAGATGACATGGGTCAGTTGAACCCTTTAGGACTAACGTATAAATCTCAACTTTTCAGCAGTGATACAAATTTCATTTAGGAATCTTTTCCGGGCTTTGAAGCCGTGGTCTTTGGAAATTTCTTCCTGACGTTTCGTCCACAACTGCGGTGGACATTATCAAAGGCGATGAGGCAGTGGGCGAAGTGATCACCCGTGCTTTCCGACTAAGACTGATTCCACTGCTGGATTCCCCGTTGCATTTATGCAACGCAGCCGTGTGTGCTCATGCGTGGGGGATGGGAGGGGGTTCAAACGCTTCGGCGCACATGCTGTTTGGCGCAAAACGCGCTTCCAATCTGGATTGAGTGCCGTAATTTCTTCTTTTCTGTTTTTACTTTTACTTACTTTTACGTTTTTATTTACTGATGGAACCATAAATTCGTTGCTCTGATCCATTTGTAACAACACTGTTTGAAAATTCAGATTTTTAATTGATTTTCCAAAGCAATAGCCAGTAATTAGCGACATTTCAATGCGTACATACGTTTTATCACTTAACGGTACAATTTATTACAAACATTCTCAACTTCACTCAACATGTCTTGATTTCAGATCATGACTTTCTATTAAAGGAGAGTTGACCGGTGAGCCGAAGCACTTGTTCAAACGTGTATACGAAAGTTAGAAAGCTGAATCATAGGACTGTTTCGATTGATCGAATGATCGAACTTTGGTAGTTTTAAATAATTCTTACTAAAGCATCAGATTATATCCATAAGAAACAAACGGGAGTGCACCACTAAACCCTTTCCAACCTAGTGAATAGAATGGTTTTACTGAGGGTAATTATATAAAGCACATTGAATTATAAGTCACATGACTACTTGGCATTTGTTCTGAAACTGCGTAGTTTCTTGAACAAGTAAAACTGATAACTTATTTTGTGATATTTCAATCTGCATTTCACTAAATTACGAGTCTATCCATGACAATGTAAAGAATGATATTGTATAATTCGGCTCTGCACGAGATTAAATTCACCTCCGAGTAAGCCACCAAAGACGAAATTCTGTTCAGGGCTCCCCGTGGTGAGGGGCCCACGCGCACCATAGTGTCAGCTCATTGGAGCCCATTAGTGGTCCATTTATTATTTTTGTTTATGGACCTCTCAATACCTCGGAGTGTCTCACCTTTATTTTAAAAAATTGCCTGTTGAGAGGCCGAGAGGCAGTTTGTTAGTCGCCACCTGCATGGTGCAATTTTTCTGTACCTTTGTGCTATTAAACAAGTATGGCTTTTTGTATGACTTTTTGCACTAGGCTGGAATATAGAACATAGGGTTTTCTATCTGAAATTCCATTTAGTGGGTTTTGTCAAAAACTGCGAGTAACCAACAGATCACCTCATTAATTATGCAAGTTTTATATGTGGGTGGAACTTATTTATGGTTAAAAGTTTTTCTTTCTGCAATTCTTCATGTGTCGATAATACCGTGGGCCTGTATCTGCTCTTGTGTGTGTCTTTTCTATATTACACAGAAGCCGCTGATGTTTCTACTGTGGCTGCCCTATTCTGAACACATGTAATGAATGTTACCGACATGCTGAGAGTCTTGATTCTTTTAGCTTTGGTTCGCAGAGGAGCAATTTTTGTGACCTTGCTATAGGTCACGCTGTGCTTCAATTGTATCGCTTTTCAGTAGGCACTCTCGCCTATACCTACCTTTTTGGCTTGGTAAAACCCAAAAACCTGGGGGGACAGACAGTTGTATACAGACCCAAAAACCAATGTAAAATCAAAGGTGCAGGACGAAGGAAAATTCAGTTTTCCTCAGAGCTCTATTTACGGCTGTCCTGAGTGCACCATGACACTTATTTCGGAATGGTAGAGAAAGTTGACCAAAACCCAACCCCGCCTTTCACTCTAATTTATTGGTATGGCATAGCTTGGCCATCCCAACAAAACAATAACCAGGGACTTACGAAACCTCGGTATACAATTCGAGATGGTCAGGTACATGCAAAGCGTAGGTACAAATTCTTCATTTCTAGCTCCAAAAAGGGGCTCATTGGTAAAGGCCGGAAAAATTCCGTATATGCCGGAAAGGGCAACCCGTTCCCAGAATTCAACACTCAGAAGGTCACAGCCCAACGACTCTGTACAAATGTTCAAATATTGTTTGAACAGGTATCTTATAAAAAATAACATAATATTGTAATTTAATATTGTAGAATAATTGTGAATAAAGAGATATAATGTACAGAATAGGATTATATTGAGTTCTAAGGTATGAATCGCAGTGAGAATAAATTATTTTTATGCTGCACAGCAGTGAACGTCGTACTTACAAATCAAATAAAATATGTGTTTTTTAGACTGTGATAAAATGCCTATAGTGGCTACCAGTTGTCGATTTTTCAGCTGTTGTCTCTTGAAAATTTAGTTTTTTTCTTATTTTTCCTCTTCCTAAAAGGTCATAAGACCCAAACTTAAAACTGTTGAAAACATCAGCATAATTTTTGAGAAATCCCTGTTGTTACAGGAAACACTGACACATTCGATTACACGCAAATAGCATCAATCATTACTGATGAAAAAAMCATCTTTAAGAACCCATTRACWTTGTGTTTATGTGGCAATACGGCCKGGTATAAAACTGGCCGACAATCGATGACAAGTTCATAAAATCGCGTTAAGCGTSAGGATGTTACGTATTTGCATGACAATAAATKACCTCTTTAYTTACTATGCCCGGGGGTTAGTTCAGAAGGGTGGATAATGAGTRGTAACATTATCGGAATACAAACGACAAACGAGTTGCCTAGTAYTTAGCAGCAGTRGGTAGTATAACAGCCTATACTATATATRCAGGGTGATTCAWWATTGGCGTCATTCCTTTTAWGGGGTGATGGAGGCTCACTTGGGGAGTACGARAAAAAWACASAMAATTTTTTTTCGAAAATTTCTAGAAKATATTAACAGTTGAAAATCGAATTTTAACTTWGCTATTAAGCATTATTTTGAAATTGTTCCACGTTTAATTGGTAGCATATTGGAATACTTAAGCATTGAAAAAGAAAAATTACGATCTTTGCTCCAAATTACGAACATTTTCGATATTGAAAAAGTTCTGTTCTACAATTTTTTAATGGAAATTCAAAGCGGCAATTATGTTTTTTGCCATTAACAGATAGTTACAGGTGGACAGCCCTTGTCAATAATAACAATAATTTGTCAAACTGTGACTTACTTTGAATTTACTTTCACAAATTTGCCGATCTGCGATTACTTCAGTAACATAGCAGAAACTGAAAGAACTCACGCCAACAAAGGGCGAGGAGATTGATTCCAGGAAGATAGTGGACGACAATTCTTCATTCCTACCACGTTTGTACGATACACACAGCACCAGGAGATACAAATGGAGCCGGAGTTAATTAAATGAATACGAGAATCTGCTTGATAAGAGTGGATAATAAGGAGATTACACAG